ATCAGAAAGACATAAAACAAAAACAAAACTAAAAACAGTGGAACTTGGGAAAACGCGCACGGCGGTGGCACTCTATTAGCACCTTTAAAGCACAATTTACAACAAACATTTACAACTGTCAATTGGCAACAAAGCAAGGGCCAATGGCCAGAAAAGAGCGGCTAAGACCTGGCCAAGAATTAAGGATACAGGTCACACAGCAGAGCTCACAAAGGCACCGCCAGTGCCCCGGGGGATTGATGGTGATGATTTTTAGGGAACTGGGACTGAAACTTCTCCCTGATGAGTGCTGACGAATCGCCTGCAATTTGTTAGCATTAACACACAAAAACCCTCATTGATGAGAACGTGTATTAAGAACATTTAATATATATGGATAATATCTGTCACATGCTTGTGTGTGTGTCTCCTTGATGCAGTTTAAAAACGAAATTAATAAAAATTTCACTTGAATTGACAAAGTGGCCGAACGCCGTGACGTTCAACTGACGACAAGTGCCACTTGACAAGCTGCCGAACTTGAAATATTTTTTCCACAATAAAGACTGGCATAATAATTCATTGTTATATAGAAGTCTGACTCGTCTGAGTCTGTCTCGAACTCGGACTCGGACTCTTTCTCTCCTCTGGAGTTGGGGTATGGCTGGTAGGTAGGTGATTTTACCTGTCCGCTAACCTCGTCGCGCTGCCACAGCTGGCGATTAATCTTGACATTGGGACGATATACCGACGACATGTACTATATGGACAATATATAAGCCGTATTCTGGCATATATAAATGTTCCATTGTTGACAATAAATAATTTAGCCATACACACAATCGACGATGTTGTCGATGGCGATGAAGAGTGTTTAGCCTATGAAAAGACGTTCTCACAGTTCGTTTGATGGCACTTGCATGTGAGATCATTATCAATGGCCAGGCTCACGTGCAGAGCACGCGGCCAGGACAGCCAAAGGGATGTACAAATAGATTCCCAGGCCAGTGTCGGTGCTTCACGACAAGTGCAGGTCAGCATAATCACCATCATCATCATCATCATCATCATCACTGACATCGCCATAATGAACCGCAACTACTTTAATTACACACTTAGCCTCGAGCAAAAGTACACTGGTCATCACAGTATTTAACAAGTTGTGGAATTATGGACTCAGCGCCAAGCGATGAATATTAAAAGAGGATTTTAGAAGTATGTTTTATTCCACTATAAAGTCTGCAAGTTCTTTTGTCAAAAATCTATTCACATATGTACAATTATAAAATAGTAATTGCTTCTAAAAATATTCCTAAAATTCAATGAAATCTGCAATTTATTTCAACACCATCTTCACATCTCTTCAATCAACCCTCTAAATTTATGTTATACACTTGTCAAGCAATAATGAAAAACAAAAACCCTTCGGAGCAGTGTAAGTAGAGGTTAATAACTGTAGTTGGCCGTGGGCGTATGTCGTGGGGGTGTGGTGCCCGCTCGGCAATTGTAATGCAAAGCGCGCGCGCGTGTATGTGTGTGTGCATGTGTGTGGGTGCTTCCAGCCAGGATCCCCTCGGGCGCATTGCAAAATTCAGTTTCGTTCGATGCCAAAGCTGAGCCGCATCTCGACGCTCAAGTGGCGGCCCGCCGGGCTATTGACAGAAATCAAAACCGGACCGGGTAAGGGCACGGCGGCAGGAGATGGAATGGGGCACAGCTCAGTGGGATCAGCCGGCAGTCGCCCAAATGGCAAACGCTTTTCGTACTTTGTTTTTTCTTCCGTCTGGGATGATGTTCATACATCGTCAACAGACGGTTGCCGGTTGCCGGTTGCCGGTTTGCCGGCTTATCACGGCATCAAAACAAATTCGTTTGAAATTAATGCGGAGATTTGCTTTCATTAGTTGGCTGTAACTGTAACTGTGAGCAAACACAATGGGTGGAAAGGCAGGTCTAGGCTTTGGCATTGGCGTTTGAACAAACCACCAGCCAACATTCGCATCCACGACACGCTCTGAGCTGCGGCTAATCCCTAAGCAAAACTTTTGGTTGCTGGAAGTTCCCTGGCTCTTGCTGTGGGCCCAACTTTCAGTACGGCCCGACACGTGGCCCTCAATTGTTACTCAGTCCTCCCCTGTCCAGCCCGATTGTATTGGAATCGCTTTTTGGGCTGCGTCATCACTTTGCATTAAGGTGAGAATCCATTCGATGGGATGCGTGCCCGTTCCTGCCGCTCCTCCCGCGCCCTCCCGTTCCTAATGTGACAGTTTAATTGCAGGTGAAACACACTGGTCGCGTGGCCATGGAAGCGTCGCTGATGCAATTAGACTGCCAACGACTTTCCCATTGTCCTGAGCTGACTTCTCAGCTGGTTGTGCGGGTGAGCACAAGTTTCTGTGCATCGTTGTCCTTGCTGGTTGCCCCCTGTTGTGCGGGTGCAGTGCGGCATGCCAGGCCTAAGCTCTTTTCTGCATACAATTGAAAAGTGATGACTTTGTAACAGCTTGTGTGTGTTGCTATGGAATTTTCAAGAGAAGACAGAGTTTTCTAATGATCTAAGTTTGGGAGAATGAGGGATTTCTGAGGGAAGAACTATTTGGAAAAAGAAAAAATTTTGAGCAATTATTCGTAGAAGGTTAAGGCATGAGTCTTGATAGTTTAACTTCTAGATTTTGTCTTTAGGATATCTTCTCTTTAACATTTTCTGATGTTATGACAGTTCAGGGAAAATATAAATATCAGAAAGCGCCTGGGAAAATAATACTTTTTTAAGCTTTGATCCATAGATTTTCTTGAACTCTCTCCGAAAAACTCGCTAGCTGCAAACTAGATCAAACTCGTACCCGTTTCCCAGCCCCAGCTTACTATCCGTATCCGTATCCGTATCCGTAACCCCTCTCCACTCCACAGACCCTCCTCGACCACACACACTCACACACCCACCCACAGTCGAAAAAGTTTCTCACATTACATCACGGACCAGCGAGGACGACGACGACTACTAAAAACAACAGCAAGAACAAGGACGACGCTTGCGAGGAACTGGAGCAGAGCTCTAAATGGACAGCCAGCAACATCGTTTAATATTGATGGGCATTGTTTGAGCTCTTTATGATGGGAAAGTGAGGCCTCTGCCAGCGCTATTTTCCTCTCTTTTTTTGCTTTTACTGTGGCTGTTGCTGTAGTTGTTGTACTTCAAGTGAATATTTAATTAAATTGTTTTCTAATAACCACGCGCAACTTTGTTGTAGGGCTGTGCACGCGCCCGCAAGCGGCGAGCGGCGGCAGGACACGCGGCGGCCGTGGCTACCAGGTCGGGCAGCAGCACCAGCACCGGGACACACCTTGTTGTGCCAACAACATTAGCAAAGGCCAAAAAAATAAAAGGGAAAACAAAAAATGGGAGGGAAAACGGAGCAGAGCAGACCAGAGCGGAGCCACCCCTTTGGCTGCGTATCCTGGCTGGCCTATCTGTCCTTTCCGGACGCTTCTAATTTTCCAAATTACGCACCATCAATCATCGCAAGTTGCGGCAGCAGCACCAGCCCTGACGAGCGCCTGTCGATGGTGCTGTCGATGAGGATGATGTTGATGATGACGTTAGAAACTATGCCACATCGGGCATGGGCACGGGCACTCCACTGCCACCCATCACCCACCCAACAGCCAATGGTGGCAATCCCATGGCGCAATCACTTGAAGCAAACGACGTTACGGCAGCCGCAAGAAAAAATTAAATTAAACTTCAAGTGTTCGCAATGTGGTGGTGAGAGCAGGTGCTTTTCCAAGCGGATGCAGCCTGGCCAGCCTGGGAATCTTCTGTTGCTGTTGTTCAGGCTGTTTTCCGTTGTAATTAACGCTAATTGCGTTTGGCCATAAGCCGGACTTTTTGACTTTTCCACGTGTTTTTCGGATTGTCCCAAGGATTTTCCCACCTAATCCCAAAGACACGGCCCAAACTGTATTTTTGTTATGGCTTGACTTCGCGCTACCAAAATATTTGCATTGCATAAATAAGCAAGAGATAATGCTGATCGGAAGTGCATAAGTCCCCAAAGAGTGTTCCCAGAAATGCTGGCCGTTTGCAGCCTGATCTCTGTGGGACTTTAAACTCTTAATGGTTAGCTAACCAATGGAGGGTCCATGTGGTAATTGAGAATGCACTCCATCTAATGAAAATGGTCGTCATGATGGGAGGATGGAGGGTTAGATGAATGGCTCAAGGATTAATATCGCAGTGCAATTAAGAGCTCAATCACAGTGACTTGACTCGGCCCTTGTTTGCCTCTCTCTGATTACATTTATGGAATTATTATTGATGTTCGGCAGTGACCACCACAGAGAGCAGTGTCCAAAACAATTCTACTTCCCACACACCACGGGCCAGGGATTCAGGGATGGTTAGCCCCCATCATCATCATCATCATCATCATTGGCAAGCCCACACCCAATGGCATTTCTAATTTCGTTGAGTAGCCCTGACTACCTCTTCGCTTGGACATTGGACATTGGACATGGGGCCCTGGCCATTTTGATTGAAATGCAGACACAAAATGCTGGCAGGCAGCCATTATATTTAAGCTGGCCCTGATCTATGCCATCGGTATGTGGACACAGTGATTGGTCGATAGAGAGAACAATTAGTGCAATTTAGCATTGGAGGGAATACAAGTAAGTTTGAAGAATAATGGATAGTAATTGTTGGGGCAATTGGACTACAACCCTTCCAAATTCCAGTCAAGTTTAAATATATTATTGTTTTAAGTAATTGCCATATATCGAGATACTCAAATAAATCCAAGCATATTGCAGTTTAACGTGTTTTCAGTATTTCTTTTAAAATTCTCTTATTTTCAGCTTTCATATAACTGCAACAGAGCACTTTCGTTTTCCTTTGGGTACAATATAACGAGGCGTCACTGTATGTGATGTGCATCCCATATCCTCTCTCATACTAATCTGTATTATGTACACAGTTGATTTGCCCTCCCAATCACCCAAACCCCCACAGCATAACCCACACACACACTCGCACATGTTTATGTATAAGTAACGGCACATACAATATGATTTCATTCATATGCAGTGGAACTATACTATGCTCCACTCCGCTCCTGCTCTGTTTTCTCTCTCACTCTTATCATTGATTTGCAATGCCTGAAAATGTTTCTGCCTGATGATGATGGGGTTCGGTTCTGTTTGGTTCTGTCCCCGTCTGCTGCTTTCCCTCGCTGATGTTGTGCTCTTCTGCTCTGCCTAACTGCCAAACATTTCCCAAATGTTCCCAAAATTTGTGTCTGTGTGTGCTGGGTATCTGGGCGTTGGATGTATGTATGCGTGTGTGTTTGCCATCGTTTTTGGAAATATTATATGCTCATACCTCCGTTTTCGAGTAAATTGTGTAAATATTTGCGTTCGTAAGTGGATTGGAGATGGATGAGTCTATCAACAGAGTCAGCCAGCGTCGTTGCCGGCAGCGCCGCTGGCATCGCCATCGCCATTGCCATCATCATATGCGTGTACCGTCATAACCTTAACACAGCTGCCTGATTACAACAGCCATCCTTTTTCTCCTCCACATGCTTCTATATATGGAGGGCCGGTCCCTTTGGTCCACCTTCAATCTATGGCCAATTGGCCAAGAGCCAACTTGGAACTTGTTACATTCGTCTGAGGCCACAAAAAGAACAAAGGTTGGCCAAAGACCTACACATTTTGGGCCAGGTGCAGCCTGTTGCCATGCCTGGGAATACAGTTGGGATTGGGTTGATTTGACAACTGAATTTATTTCACAATTGCATTACAGGCCCAACAATTACACAGCCAACAAACTGATTCACAGACCATATGAAAGGGGTACAAATGCAGGTTAAAATATTTGTCTGTTTTACAGGTCTTATTTTGTGGTTTTCTTTTCGGCATCTTTCTCCGCCTCGCTGGCGCTAGACTCCTCTTCATCTTCATCATCATCCTCATCATCGTCGTCATCATCGTAATCGTCATCAGATTCATCATCATCATCGTCTCCGTAACCGCCACTGGCTCCGCCACCATAGTAGCCAGCGCTGCCACTAGCGCCACCATAGTAGCCGCCATAACCTTCTTCGTCATCACTTCCTCCTTGTTGTTGGCGGCCAAACTTGTGCGAGCGCGTCGACATGCTCAGATCCTTGGTGACGGACGTATCGTAATTGCACTTGGGACAGGGAATTGCCTTGTTCTTGTCGTACTTGAAGCCCTTGCGGCGCACATGATCCTCGCAGTAGCACGTCTTGCAGCGCAGGCACGAGTACTGACCCAAGCGGTTACACGATTGGCACTTGTAGTTCTCAGATTCCAGCACCTGCAAGGGGAAAGTAATTAGTAGGACAGTGGTTAAATGGACTTGCAAGTGGACTTACCTGACAACTGGCTTGATGCTCGAACTGATCATCCTCGCACAGGAAACCATCACAGAAGGAACACTTGAAGATGCGCCCACCGTGCTCCCAAACGCCACGTTCACACTCCAGGCAGACGGCGTTCTGTAGTGGGCACGTGCAGGCATGGCTGGTCAGGCACTTGCGGCCGTGGCACACCCAGGCCTCGCAAAAGTCGCAAATGGCACCCACCATGCCCATGCCGGTGGTGTACACGCCGGGATGCTTCACCACGCAGTCGCCCGTCTTCAGCATGCACTTGATCTTTCCACATTGGGCACAGATCGGCAGCCGCTGAATACTTTGGCAAAAGTAGCAGAACGCCCGTGACTTTTGCTTCTTCTCGCACTTGTCGCAGTCCATCGGCGCATTGCAGGGCACATCGGCCAGCGGAGTTTCGCGGGTGCGAATTTCTTTGAGGCGCAGCTTTTGCTTTTCAGCCTTTTTACGCTGCCCTGTCTTTTTTTTCGGCATTTTTAACAAATTAAATTAAATAAAATTAACAAAAATGCCTAAAAACAAGTGTGACCGCGGAATTAATTATCGATAAAAAATACCGTCAAACCCCCGGAGATATACCGAAATATACCCTTTCGTTTGCAAAAGTATACCGAAAAAGTAGAGTTTCGATACGATAAAATTCTTGAATATACCTGAATAATGGAATTTATTTGACGGATTCAATTCATTAAACCTACTATTATACGCCGATAAGCCGTTTATATACATTGAACTCATATTCGATGTATACATAACCCGAAAGTAATATACCTTAAATGGTCACCCTACTAAAAAAACTCGATGTTATTTCTACTGATCTGGCAGCACCCATTTTGACGCATAGCTGGCTGCTATGACAGTACTTAAGCGGATTGGTGTGAAACTTGATTCTTTCAAATTCAGATTAGCTAGTCAAATTTCCTTTTGTCTCAGTATCTGAGGCAAATTCGAATGTTACAGCAGCATAACCATTTATTAGAATATCGGAATATATCAGCATCAAAATATCAGTATATAGTGGTCTGTGACCATTAAAGTAATGCCTAGAAAAAAGGAAAACAAATATTTCAAATAAAGGCGCGTATTTCTGTTTTCTTTTAAGGGGCGAGAGAATTTCCCTGACGGTTTCGAAATAGGAAAGGATTTCCCTGACCATCATATGAAAAACTCAAATACTAATTTGTAAAATTTGTAAAAGGTCATAAAGTACAGTTCAATTCAAATGAGTATTTATAATACGAAGAATTGGTTCTTTAAATGGATTAAATTATTGTGTAAGTGTTAAAAGTCTTTTCAAGATAGTAATAACAAATGGAGCATCAAAATCGAGCCATCTGATGTTCATTTTTATATTTTTCGGTATATTTTGAAAATGAGATGGTATATTTTGGTACATTTTTAAAATGAGATATATTGCGAAAACTAGGGCTGTCAAATATTTAAAGAATATTATACCGGAAATTTATATTGCTTGGAAAAAATATTTATTTGTATTTTTATTTTAATCGCTACAGCGAAATTGGTTGGTCGCAGAAGATGAGTCCGCATTGACCAGGTACGAATTTTACTAAAAATTTTGAACTCAAAAAAGAGTTGTTTGCTGAACGAACACTAAACAGGATTTAAATGTTTTATTTAAAAAAATATCGATATGTTGATATTTTGATATATATTTGACAACCCAAGCGAAAAGTTTTTCGGTCACACTTTTAAATTTTTTCAACGACGCGAGGGCTGTGCCTGTGAATTTTTGTTCAAATAAATATAAAATTAAAGTATATTGAGCATTAAAAAAGTGAAATGGGTGGCCATAACGATAATCAGAATGGAAACTCCAACGGCCACGATGATGTAAGTAGATCTTTGTTGGAATTATGATTTTTCCAATGCGTGTCTCAGCGGACGCCATTTTGAAAATTACGCATGTGCCTCCAAGTGGAAGAGAGGTTATGTGTGGCTGTGAAAAAATCAATAATTTGCTTTTGTTCATAGGATATCACCGAGCCGGAGCATATGCGTAAACTGTTCATTGGTGGTCTGGACTACCGCACCACCGATGATAACTTGAAGGCGCATTTTGAGAAATGGGGCCAAATTGTCGATGTAGTGGTAATGAAGGATCCACGTACCAAGCGCTCGCGTGGATTTGGCTTCATCACCTATTCGCACTCTTCCATGATTGACGAGGCCCAGAAGGCTCGTCCCCACAAGATTGACGGACGCGTTGTTGAGCCCAAGCGTGCCGTGCCACGCCAAGATATTGACTCTCCGAATGCTGGTGCCACTGTCAAGAAGCTGTTTGTTGGCGCCCTCAAGGACGATCATGATGAGCAGAGTCTGCGCGACTACTTCCAGCACTTTGGCAGCATTGTGGACATCAATATTGTCATGGACAAGGAGACTGGCAAGAAGCGTGGCTTTGCCTTCGTTGAATTCGATGACTACGATCCAGTGGACAAAGTTGTGTGTAAGTTAAAGACATCTCCATAGTGTGTACCCAAGGGTCAGCAAGCCCGAACCATTTATAATGTAAGGTTGTGTTTTAACGTTTTATTAGCTTTCAAACCTGTATTGAGCTACGAGCTCAAGTTTGAAGAATCCAAATTCGTCACTGTCAATGTAACACGTAGGGTCGTTACAACATCATTTTGTTTCATATTCTTCACAGTCCCAGCTCCGCATAGCAATGTTTGATGTGTCTGTGCGGCGTTTCATGACTGTAAAATGAAATTCCAGCTAGTATTATATCATTGTTGCCGGTGCTTTCGTGCATCAGCGATGAAAGAGTATTTGGCACAGTCCCTTAAATATACTATGTATGAATTACACCCTTTGAATCATCAGGACAACCCTTCACAGGTACACAGTACTGACAAACTGTCTGGTTTGATCCCCTCGCCTGAGCAGTTTCTTTTTAAACGCTGTGAGACGAATGATAGCGTCGGCTAAGCTATGTTATGCGAATGTAAACTAAATCACTATTCAGTGTAACACGCAGCCTCGTAACACTCATATAAATCCATCTCCATGTACTTGAAATCAACTAAATACACAGTCCCAGCTCCGCATAGCAATTTTCGATGTGTCTGTGCGGCGTTTCATGACTGTAAAATAAAAACCCAGCCAGTATTATATCATGGTTGCCGGTGCTTGCGTGCATCAGTGATGAAAGAGTACTTGACACAGTCCCTACCTTATTTATCAATTTTTACTAGACTTAGAAATTGAGAACCATCTCGTTTTGACTTACACAGTACTGACAAACCGTCTGGCTTGAAACCCTTTGCCTGAACCGTTTCTTTTTAAACGCTGTGAGATGAATTATAGCGTCGGCTAAGCTATGTTATGCGAATGTAAATCAAATCACTATTCAGTGTAACACGCAGCCTCGTTACACTCATATCAATCCATTTCCAAGTACCTAAACTAAAATATTTACACAGTCCCAGCTCCGCATAGCAATGTTTGATGTGTCTGTGCGGCGTTTCATGACTGTAAAATGAAATCCCAGCCAGTATTATATTATTGTTACTGTTGCTTTTGTGCATCAGCGATGAAAGAGTATTTGGCACAGTCCCTTACATTTAAAATGTATGACTTTTGACCAATTGAAACATCAGAACCACCATTTCCCAGGTACACAGTACTGACAAACTGTCTGGTTTGATCCCCTCGCCTGAGCAGTTTCTTTTTAAACGCTGTGAGACGAATGATAGCGTCGGCTAAGCTATGTTATGCGAATGTAAATTAAATCACTATTCAGTGTAACACGCAGCCTCGTTACAATGACATCTAGTCCCATATTCTTCACAGTCCCAGCTCCGCATAGCAATGATTGATGTGTCTGTGCGGCGTTTCATGACTGTAAAATGAAATCCCAGCCAGTATTATATTATTGTTACTGTTGCTTTTGTGCATCAGCGATGAAAGAGTATTTGGCACAGTCCCTTACATTTAAAATGTATGACTTTTGACCAATTGAAACATCAGAACCACCCATTCCCAGGTACACAGTACTGACAAACTGTCTGGTTTGATCCCCTCGCCTGAGCAGTTTCTTTATAAACGCTGTGAGATGAATGATAGCGTCGGCTAAGCTATGTTATGCGAATGTAAATTAAATCACTATTCAGTGTAACACGCAGCCTCGTTACACTCATATCAATCCATTTCCAAGTACCTAAACTAAAATATTTACACAGTCCCAGCTCCGCATAGCAATGTTTGATGTGTCTGTGCGGCGTTTCATGACTGTAAAATGAAATCCCAGCCAGTATTATATTATTGTTACTGTTGCTTTTGTGCATCAGCGATGAAAGAGTATTTGGCACACTCATTGTCCGTTCTCAAGAGGGAAATCGATTGCCTAATCAATTGCTAATCAAATGTTAATTGGAGTTCACTTTTATTCGACTCTTTTCAGTGCAAAAGCAACATCAGCTGAATGGCAAAATGGTGGACGTGAAGAAGGCCTTGCCCAAGCAGAACGAAATGGGTGGAGGCGGCGGCGGTGGTGGTGGACGCGGCCAGGGTGGTCGTGGCGGTGGAAACCGTGGATCCAACATGGGCGGCGGTGGCGGCAGCTATGGCAATCAGAATGGAGGCGGTAATTGGGTAAGTGCCTGGATGAGATTTACTTTCTAATTGAATTATAAATTGACTGACGTCTGAATATTTTTGCAGAATGGCGGCGGTAATTGGGGAAATAACCGTGGCGGCAATGATAACTGGGGCGGAAACAACAACTTCGGTGGCGGTTATGGCGGTGGCGGCGGCAACAATGGCTGGGGCAACAACATGGGTCCCTGGGACAATGGCAATGGCGGCAGCAACTTTGGTGGCGGTTCCAATTGGGGCAACGGTGGGGGCAACGATTTCGGCGGGTACCAACAGAGCTACAGCGGCGGTCCCCAGCGCGGCGGCAACTTCAACAACAACCGCATGCAGCCCTACCAAGGAGGCAACTTTGGCAACAAAGCAGGTGAGAAAAATCGTACCGAAAGCATCATCTTAAAATGAATAGACTCACGCGAAAGATTAGCACACAGTACCCTGACACCTTACTGTTAGAACATCGATAGAGTTTGGCAGTTAGCTTTAAGAATATTAAAATACTGTGAGATAAACGGACGATGGCTTTCGCTATGTTCGCTACAGTTTTAGTTGTATTTTTGCAGTCCGCCTGGCGGACTTGTTCAGAGATTATCAGTAAAGTAATTAGTGGAGAATGCTTATGTGATCTTATGTGATCTGGGTTTTCTTTTAGGCGGTGGCAACCAAGGCAACTATGGCGGCAACAATCAGGGCTTCAATAGCGGTGGCGGCAACAGCCGCAGATATTGAGGGATAATACCAGACGAGGTGAGACACCATTATCTGTTTAATTAGTTATGGTTTACGAAAGTAAAGTAAAGTGAAGTCGGTCCATTAACAACAACAACTAATCCTATCCATGGCCAATCAATCCATTAACCTTTCGTTTGGTTCTACAAGCGTATATCTGTTCTTTTGTTTTTATCTTTATCAACTTAGCGAATAGGCCTTAAATTATCGCTAATTTTTTTGGTAGTGTTTGTAAAAGCATTTAGGACGGAAAACGCAAACTTGAAAACATTTTGTGTTAAAACCAAGCAAGAAAACCAACCAATTTACATATACAATGAACATTAATTAAGACTACATATATGCTATTTATTTTATTTTTGTAAACGTATTTAGAAAACAAAACCAAAACCAATACCAAATCAGCAATTAAGAATTCTCTTCGTATGCAACCTGTTTTAAATAACGTTTCTCATTTATCGACATTTTATAGGTGATAAATTAGAAGTCGCTCAGTATAAACCCAAAAGTCACAGTCAAGTAAACGATACGCAATTCAATGAGTATGAAGAAGTATGAAGAAGTTTTCCGAGCACCACAAACCATACCAAAACATGACAGAGAAGAGAAGAGAGTAATCAGGATCAGTGCAGAGCAGAGAAGTGGAAAGGAGTGGAAAGGAGAGCAGGAGAAGAGCAGTGCAGACAGACAGAGAAAAGAATAAGATGAGAATGAGAGATCAGTGCAGCAGTGCAGCAGTACAAGTACAGAGCAGAGCAGCCGTGTGTGTGCATCGATCAGAGGGCACAGATTGAATATCAGACAAAGCTTTATTCATAGAGAGTCGAGTCGAGTCGAGTCGCACACACACAGCATGCACACACACAACAAGCAGCAGTACACGTACACAGCAGCTGGCCAGGATTCGATTCAATTCGATTCACTAATGCTTATTGCACTTGATGATTGATTACCCCTTCTATGAGACGCATCAAAAACAATCCAATACCCATAGAAATATATACTTAAAATTCAAACTATTTGTAGCAACAACAACAACAACAACAACAACCAGTATAAGTAACATTGTAAATTAGAGCAAACGCGCGCCAAACGAGCGAACATTTGTATATCCAATCCACACAATTTTTACCATCTTTTTACCACCATCTTTTACCTTGTTACCGACCCCATAAATGCAATCAGCCATGTAAAACTTCAAGGCGGCAGCCGAGAGGCCACACTTTATTTGTACATTTTAGAGTATGTAGCATGCGCGGCCCCCATGCAGCAATTGGGCTGTGGGCGTGGGCGTGGGCTGCCGCCGACAATTTCTGATAATCAGTGCGCCGAAACACACACAAACTTATGAAAATATGTATTACATTTTACGACTTTCTCTAGGCTTAAGTTGTCATAATCTTAAACAAGTAGAGTGTGCGGTGCGGCGGTAATGGCAATGGCAGTGGCAATCCATCCTTCAGCTGCCTGCCTGCCAGCCGCATGCTGCCTTAGCGTTAATTTACGTGTACGATTACGAGTACCAAACATTCAAGTTCTAAGCGAACTGCTGCTGAGCTCTGAACCGAACCGAACCCAACCCTAATCGTGTGGAGGAATCTTAGCTTTCTTGTACGTACATATATAAGTGACGACATGGAACTAACCAATCTCCAATGTTTAGTTTTAATCAAGCAACAATTAAATGTAATCTACCTTTTAGCAATCAGTCTGTATGCAGTTGTCGTCTGAGGTCAGCGCAATTATTATTAACGAAATTTTACACATTAATGTAGCGAAATACAAGATTCGAAAATACATAAGATATATACAGCAAATGAATGATGTAAATTCGACAAAAACAAATTCCAAAAAAAAGAAAAACTTTAAACAAAATAAGAAATCTGTTTAGCTAAAGATTTTGTAGTTTTTGTGTATATTTGAAATATTGTAGCAGAGCAGCAGCGCATCAGCATAGCGAAGAGAGATCTATCTGAGCAGAAGTGTAAGTTGGAGAGTTGGAATGAAGGAGGGATTCAATTCGAGTCGAGGAAGGAGCAAGACAGAAGGCAAGCAGCCAGCAAATTGTTATCGTAGCGTTTGTTGTCGGGCGGGCCATTTAACCACCTCATTTACGCCACTCTTCTTGTTATTCATCAGTCTATCTGGTTTCAATCTTTCGTTCGTTTATCACAATTTCACGCTCTCTCTTCCCCTGTAACATCCATGACATTTACAACTATGTATTATTGTAATTTTTGTTGCAAGTTGGCTGAAAAGTAATGCGAAGCGCTGAAAATGAAAAGACGGCCGTCGCGCTACTAAGCAGCCACGGACCCGGACCATCCACATTTTGCTTGCAATTCGATGGGGGATCCGGCCCATGGGGTAAGGGTAAGTCTCCTCCTGCCAAAACAGCACAGAAGTTGTAATTTTCAGATGGGCTTCTGGGAATGTTCCACGCGCTACCCCAGGCGGCGGACGAAGCTGCACGAATTGCCCTCGGGAGAGGCTGAAGAACATACTCATTTTGTACGTATTTCAATTTTATTTCAATTTATTATTTGACCTTCTTCAATAAAGAAATATTCTGAAAACCAACTTGTGTTAAAATTTATATTTGAATTTAGTTTGAAAATGTTAATGGTGTGTACACACTTAATGCTTCTCTGCGTGTTTACAGTGCTCATACTGACTGTTATCTATTTTGCGTTTAACAGCACGGCGAGTGAGCAAATCAACAGCTGTAAGCTGTAGAATATTTGCTTATAGGATTTGTAAACAAAAATTATTTTTTTTTTAATGATTGCTGTTTCTTAACATGGTCACAGAATAAGGCAAAATTTACTACCCTTGGGAAGAAGGATATCCTCGAAGTGAGGAAAAGTTGGAAATTTCAGGCTCCAATCAATGCAAAAAAAAAATCAGTCTTGGAGATCCATCTCATACATAGAAAACATATGAAGACATTATTAATGTTTAAGAGCAAGTTGAAAACCAAAATTTTAATTAATGAAAATAGGGTATAAAAAGAAGCATAACATACCATACTACCAATCCAATAAAAGGAAGTCATGAACACTAGCCAATATTTTGGAAAATGGATTGATAAATCGGATACAATTTTTGGTTTAGAGCTGAGAATACTAACAAGCTAGTTATATTGAATACAACATTAAAATCGAGCAAAACGATTGAAGCTATACGGTATATTTTAAAAAGGTAAGTGATATTTCGGTATAGTTTTGATGGTGCGGTATATTTTCTAGATAAGTCAGGCAGGCACACTGTTTTTTTGTCTAAACTTAGTTTTATAAATAAGCCAATAAAAATAATTATAATAGTCTTTAAAATAAGACGGTCTTGTAAAGAATTGATTCATCTTTCTGATAAAGTTATATGTTCGGTGGTGACAGTAACATTGTCAGTAACATTGAACCTATCAAAGTCGAGGAATATAATTCCGATGAAAAAAAATAAAAGAATCTCACCAAGAAACCGGCGTAAACCGCAAGAACATAAAAAAGTCAGGGTACAAATTTAAATTTGACCAGAAGTAGGAATCCAGCCATCTCGCAGGGCTATGGAATGTTCTTGTCCACCAAGTGGTTCGTGAGCAAGAGATCTTCCTATGATTCGAGTGAGGGTTACCCCGATACGCCCTCAATTAAAGGAAAACGCCTTCGAGATTGAACGCCTTCAACATCAAAGAGCTATTAGCTGCAACGTCAAAAGCATTCCGATATGGACTCTACTGCCACACGGACTGTTACCTTTGTGTACAACTACAAGGACCATGAAAACAAAGACTGCTTAGCCCAGCTGGACATCAAACTCCCCTTTGACCAGGAGAACCTGGAGGAGTGCCTGACGCAGTTGCTCAACCAAATGGATCCCATGATGCGATATCTGGACGAGAACATTAGTAGGTATTCCACGAAATGCAGGCAGAACTCTTTAAAACTGAGCAATGATTTATGTTGCAGATTTGGAAAGCAAGCTGCAGGAGTTTGTGGACACTGAACACCAAAAGTTCTTGGACGACTACGCTGAAAAGCTGATCACACAGGCGGCCAACGAAGAAATCGATGTGGAGGCAATTGTGCGGAATACAGAGCGGCTGTATAAGGACGAGCTCCTGCAGTTTGCAGATCGTGTGGGCCCAAGGGACGAGGATATATTTGCGCAGAGTTTCCATCGCCTCGTGCACTCCTCGTCGCTCGAAGAAATTCTTAAACGAGAAAGAGCCTATGCCAAAGTAATAGCCGGAATGACGGAGCACATGGACAGCGAGGTGGAGACGCTCAATACTAGCCAGCAGCAGGAGATGGACAGCCAAATCAATCAGCTGGATATAACCACCACCTCTGAGGACATTAACAATCTGCTGGCCCAGCAGTACACCACCCAGAACTTTGTCCGCAAGCGCTACGAGTCGGAGCTGGAGGCTAAAATGGGTCACCAGAAGAACGAGTACCGCGACTGGATCACGAGTCAAGTGAGCCAAATGTTTCAGGTCTCGCCGGTGGCCACGCCGTTGGGCAATCGCTCCTCCATGTTCGTTTCGCAACAGCCATCGATGGAGGAAAGCTTCACCATACATCTGGGCTCCCAGCTGAAGCACATGCACAACATTCGCATTCTCAGTGCCAACGTGACGGAGCTCTGCAGTCCCCTGCATGCCGAGGAGAGTTTAAATGGCCTGAACATGGCCCTGGGCCTCTACTCCAGCTCCCTGTGTGGTGTCGTGGTGCTGACGCCGTCCATTCAGGCAGAGGCCAACAAAAATATCATCAAAAATGCCAACAGGTCGACAGAGTTTCACTTTGAGCAGATGGACGTTCAGCTGGAGAAGATAGAGAAGCAGATCCGTAGCCTCAGCACCACCGATTCGAGCAGCACTCCGAGCACTGCCAGCAGCAACAGCAGTGCCGAGGGTAGCGTCACGCCCTCGCCCACAAAGAAGCATGTGCCCCGACTGAAAACAGGAGATTTCTTTATCACCAAACACTCAAACTTGTCTCAATCCCATGTCATATTCCATCTGATCTCCGACGAGCCCATCAACAGTCCAAGTGAGATCAACTCACGCCACCCGGTGATTTTGGGCCTGAGGAATATCCTAAAGACAGCCAGCAGACACGACATCACCACGCTGACGATTCCGGCTCTGTTGCGCCACGAGATGAGTGAAGACATGACCGTGCAGTGGTGCATCAGGCGGGCGGAGCTGGTCTTCAAGTGCGCCAAAGGATTCATGATTGAGTCAGCGTCCTGGGGCGGTGCAGAGTTAAGGTTTGTGCTTTGTTTTTATCGATTGGCAGATACAGACTCGCATTAATTGGTTATATTTTCGCAGCACTTTGCAATTGTTACTGCCGGATGATATATCGGAGAGCCTGTTCACCACGCTGGCGGGCATGGTGCCCAGCGTTTTTCACGTGGCCAATCCGAAGATACTTGTGGACACCAGCAAGTAGTAGACATTCCTCAAATAACAATTGAACTTATAAAAAAGACTACTCTAATATATTTGTATGAATATACAGTTTATTCAGATTCAGAGTTATATATATATAGATATATATATGTATGTATGTATACGTATATATGCCTCGGTATTCGTCGCCATGCTCAAAAAGTTTACTCGTAAATTTAACACACACTCAGAATTTTTGTGTAAATGTTCCTGTATCAATTTTTGTCAATAATTTATCGCAACCTTTTGTTTTTCCAACTACAACACTACTACTCGTACAATGTATGTATGCATATACTATTTATGTAGTTATATGTTAGGTATATGTATGTAGGTATCATGTGTATATTACTTCCAAATGTAAATGGGTTTATCTTTGGTTTTTTAGACTCCTCTCTCTCTCTGTCTTGCATTTGCTGCCAGTGTGTGTGGTATGTGGTTGTGTTCTGTTCGGTTAAATTTAGTGATTATATATGGGGGTGTTTGCATTGAATAACTCTGTTCTTTAACTTGTAAATATGCATTTTTGAAATATATATATATAATATGTATTTAAATCTAAACAACTGTGTTCTGCGGTATATTATGTATATTTTAAGTTTCTTCGTTAACAATTAATTAGGTTTCCATCCATAATGTTCTCTGTGTGTTTCGCTGTTTAACTTTTGCTTATTATGTTTATTTGGTGTTTATCCAAGTACGTTGTCTGCTGTGTGTGTGTGTCGTATCGCTGCTTTGCAGTAATGGGAGTAGAGGCTCAGAAAATAGTATTCAATCAGTATATATTTCGATAAAGTGTATTTCGTTCGTTCAACCGGCTTAATGGGGTAGGGGAGTTTGGTTTACATAAAATTAGTGACGAGTGTTTTAGGTACAGGAACGGACCGCATTGAGTGTTTTTCTTTTTGCGAGCGAATTTAATGCACATCGTATTACGTCTTATATGTTCGCTTAGGGCGTGGGCTTTAATTGAATTGACATAAACAGCATAAATCATCAGTGTTTAAATGGTACGTATAAATGAATTACATTGCTATAGCCGTTTGCCTTTTTGCCAATAAGTGCGCATTGGAGTAGTATGGCCCCACAATTAAGGCCAGCTCTGATCAATCCAGCATAAATTATATTAAAGTTGAATTATAACTTATTGCTTCTGTTTGTTAATGTTAAAAATACATCCTGGGAACAGTGCTGTGTGTGCTCCAGTATACACATTCTCGTCGTGTTGTGTATGTCGTCTCTATTTAAATTTCGTTAGATTTCTTGCCTACATTGAAGAACAAAGTCTACTACAAGTTGCATGCCAAATGGGGGTTATGATGAAATATCGTATATCTATATATGGATCTTTAGCTTAATACTCGGCTCATGCCTTAGACTACGTTGGTATGGATAGTAAATGTAAATGCCTACATATATTTTAGTTAAATCAAAAGAATACATATTAAAAGTGTACTAAAATTGAAACTATCACAAAAAAACCCAATACTTTATCAAAAGTACGATAAAAATGAAATAAATTATTATGCTTTGAAGGTTGAGTATGCACGTGTGGTACAGGAATTGCTTTTCCTTTTACATTTGACTCTCTTTGCGCCACTGGAAGGTGCCCGATTTGACGCCAATGCTGGAGGAGCCTTGATTGCTGCTGGAGGACAGTATGTTGTTCGTGCGTCGAATTAGCTGGGAAGCGGCATCGAAGCGGCTGCGTATAAGCCGCATTGCCGGATTACTGGACACACCACTGCGCTTGCTCTTGCTGTGTTCGGATAGAAGAAAATATGTTAGTTTGTGTTGCAGTAGCTTCCTTTTTGAATCCCTTGACTCACCCAGAGGAACTGGGCTGGTTTTCCTTGAGATTTCCCAGTATGATGCGCATGTGCGTGTCTCGAGCAAAATGATTATCCGGCAGGGAGGCCTTGGCACCGCCACTGCTCGTGCCGGCTCTGTCATCATCCACAAAAGCATTCAGTCCTGGCAGCTGGCCCGGTGAGCTCAGTTCGCTGCTGGGCGAATGCGGTGGAGTGGCATACAGCGGCGACATGCACTCCATGTCATACATGTCCGCCTCATTGGTCATATTGGAAGCTGTTCGTATTCGTTTGAAGAATGTAATTAGTTTGGCTCTGGCTTGAGGTTTGATTTGCTTACCAAGCTGATGCTCGCTGAGATCGGGCAGCATCTGTGAATGCCGCTGGCCACCACCGCCTCCGCCCCCACTGGACTTGTGGCCCGAGCCAGAGGCATGCTTTGAATTGACCATGAGATTGTTTCGCGAGCTAAGTTTGCTTTGTCGCTGCAATTGCTGTGTGAAGGTAAGCGGCGCTTGCTGCAACGAAAAAAGAAACTCATGACATTCGTACGTCAATTGGATTTCCATGAAGTGGTTTATACTCACATCATTGCTGCTGCCCGTGGATTGACTAGAGATGACGCTCTTGCGCTTGTGCAAACTGCTCGTATCCGATTGCATGGTGTTCTGGTAGAAGTTATTCGAGCTGTGCGTGGAACTGGAGGCATTGAGGACGTGCAGCTGACTGCCATTGTGCACGGTGGCCGTGGTGGCCGCCGAACAGACCGAGGAGGCGGAGGCGTGGGCCGGATAGGGGGCCAGGTTCTGGTGCAGGGGCAATGCCGGCGGCTGGTCCGGGGAGCGCAGCATACTGGCGTGAGCATGGAACTTGGGTTCGTTGGGATTATTAGCATCATCTAGGGAGTAAGGAGGGAGAGTAGGGCAAAGGGAAAGCATTAGTAACAGAGCACAAGAATGCTCCTGCGTTTGGTCTTACTTTTGGTGTAGCTCTCGAAGATCTTCAGGATGCTGGTGCGACTCGATTTGGCCGCCAGCTTGATTGGTGTGCGTCCGCAGTGGTCCGACTTGTATGGATTGGCACCGAACTGCAGCAGAGCGATCACGCACTTCTCGTGTCCCTCCTGGGCAGAGATGCCCAGGGCGGTGGCCCCCTGCTTGCAGGCGTGATCCGCCTGGGCGCCGTAGTAAAGGAGAATGCTCATCACATCGTGGTTGCCCTGCCAGGCGCACGAGTGCAGCGGAGAGCGCGCCTCCAGGTCCATCGAATTGACATCAGCACCGGCCTCGATCAGGGACTTGACCATGTCCGCGTGTCCCTGCCAGGAGGCCACATGGAGCGCGGTGCGTCCCTCGCTGTCCGGAATGTTCACATCCACATTGGTCATGTCCAGCAGGTACTTGACAATCTCCAGCTTATTCTCCAGCGCCAGGATGTACAGCGTGGTGCGCGAGTCCGCATCCTTTGAGTTGACGTCGCAGCAGAACTTGAGCAGAAACTCCACCGTCTCCATGTGTCCCTCGAGGCAGGCCAGCCGGAAGGCGGTCTTCCCATCGTGCGCCTTCTGGTCCACAAAGCTGGAGTGAATGTCCAGCAGGGCCTGTACACAATTCAAGCGTCCCTCCTGGGCAGCCAGATGCAGGGCCGTCTTTCCCTCGTTGTCGCACTCATCGATCTTTGCGCCCGACTCGAGCAGCTGCATGCACACCTCATGGAAGCCCTCGAAGGCGGCATAGTGGAGGGGCGTCCAGCCCGCATTGTCGCGATGCGTCTCGTCGAGGCCACGATCGAGCAACTGCCGCACCGTCTCCACATTCCCTTGGGCGGCACCAATGCTCAGCACTGTGCGGCCTTCAGAGTCCATGCAGTCGATGCCGCATCCCCAGAAAAGCAGCAGCTTCACCACCGTGGCATGCCCCGCCGTGCAGGCGGCCCACAGTGGCGTGCGTCCCATGAAGTCAGCCAGATCCGGATCGGCGGCATTCTCCAGCAGCAGTTCGCACACCTCGGCATTGCCCTCGAAGGAGCTGACCAGCAGCGGCGACATGCCATCGTTGTCCAGCTGATCCGTGTTCGCGCCATGATCCAACAGCGTGGAGATCACTTTGCTGTAGCCAGAGGAGCCGCACAAAGCAGCCACGCACAGGGCACTGCGTCCATCCAGATCCAAGTGGTTGACATTCGCTCCGTTCTCGAGCAGGATCTCCACGATGTCATAGTGACCCATGTAGGAGGCGGCAATCAGCGAAGTGCGACCCTGTCGATCCACAGAGTTAACATCCGCACCCGACTCGATCAGCAGCTTGAGAATGTCTTCGTGTCCGCTCCAGGCTGCGGCCCGCAGGGCAGTGCGTCCCTCTTTGTCCGCGAGATCTATTTTGCAGGCTGGCTGGGAGATCAGCAGACGCACCACATCGCTGTGGCCGCCCCAGGAAGCGGATCTTAAGGGGGTCCAACCATCCCTGTCCGCATGATTCACGTCCACGCGCTTCATTCTGCCAGTGCCATCATTGCAGGGCTGTGAGAAGCTGAGAAGCAGCTTCACCACCTCCAGGTGTCCATTTCTGGCAGCAATATTGAGTGCCGTCTGGCCGTTGTAGTCCTCAATCTCCAGATCTATGGGACTCTTGCACGCATTGAGGGCCCGCTCCAGCAGCTGATGGTTGCCATCGTTGGCCAAGATATGGATCAGGGCCTTGCCCTTGTGCAGCTCGATGTGATGCGAATCGGAGAGCTGGTGCAGCGTGCTGGAAGCGTTGTCGTCCTGGCTCTCGTGCGGCGGCTCGCTGTGCTCCGAGGGGCTGCCCGCTCGCTGTGTCTCCAGCAGGCAGCTCTTCTCGCTGGAGAGCAGCAGGTCGGCCAGCTCAAAGTCAATGTTCTGCGATTTCTCCGATAGCTCGGGCGACATCAGCGAGGACTCGCAGGAGTTCTGCGATTCGGCATTATTGATGCCCGTCTCGATGAGCAGCTTCAGCATCTTGGCATCCGTCGGAAGACTGGGCTTGAAGAAATCGCACAGGAACTGGGCAAAGGGCTCGCTCAGGTCGTTGGCGAGGAACCGCTCCAGCATGGAGCGTGTCTTGGGCAGGAAATTGCCATCGTACTTGAAGTCATGCTCGCACTGGGCGCAGCAGTTCATCTGATTCGTGTAGAAGCAATCGCTGAGGTTGAGGCGCGACTCCAGCAGCATCAGTATGAGATCCATGTCCACGTGGCGGCTGGTCAGGTACTCGCCCGACTTGATCAGATGGTAGGCGAAACGGCGGACCGTATTGGCGCAGAGGGTGTCCGCCACCAGCAGATAGTACATGGAAATCATCACGTGGCCCTCGTTGACATCGCAGATGAACTTCTTGGTGGCAAACTTTACGTCCACGAGCCAATCGGCGAAAGAGTTGTGGAAGATCTTGAGGCGCTGAGCATTCGCATCGTAGGCGAGGATGTTCCGCATCAGCTGGAGGCGCTTCTCGAACTCCTGGCAGTCGATGGTGTAGTTGTGGGTGCGCAGGCAGTTGAACAGAAACAACTTGTCCACGTAGCCGGAGGAGGCCAGCAGTACATTGAGTAGCGGCCGAATCTTCATGTACTGCTTCTTGTTGAAGGACTTCTGGCAAATGTACAAGTACAGGCCGTTGAGGGTGCATGGAATCAGCTTGATCTCCCGGAAGCTAAAGAAGTTATCCTTGATGCCGTGTAGCACCTTCTCCAGGTAGAGGATGCAGCCGTTCGACTTGATGTAGAGCTGATGCAGCGACTCAATGATCTCCTTGGTCAGCATGATGCTGTCCTTGAAGTCCGAGTTCAATCGATTGATGATATACTCCTGCACATCCTTGACCACATGCGACTTGCGCAGATCGTCCAGCGTGATCTTCTTGAAGCCCGTAAACATTCTGGTGATTTGTTTTGTTTGCTTCTTGGTGGTGCACACGAGGAACAGCCACTTGGGGAACAGATGGATGTGATTCGACAGCAGCTCCGCCACATTGCGGCTCTTGTGGATGGCCGCATTGCAGCGTCCCCCCTTCAGGGTGGATATGAGATTGCCCTCGTTGATGTAGTTCTCATCGATCGAGTCGATCAGCAGCAGAAGCGCTGTCTTTGGTGGCGTCAACTCAAGCAGCGGAAAGAGCAGAGCCTTCTTGAAGCACTCATCGGGATTCGTCTCGATGTTGTCCACACTGAGGCACTCGAGTATCTCCGGATTGGAGAGCAACAGCTCGTAGTAGCCATCCGCAATGATAGTGCGACAGCTCTTGGTCTTCGGCAGCGGCGGTGGCAGTGTGTTTGTGTGCTTCCTGGGCTTCTCGGCGAGCGCTGGCGGTGCCTGTCGCTCCTCCTGTTCCCGTTCCTCCTGTTTTCCATTCACTTTGCCATTCTCTGTGAAATCTATGAGAGGTTCTGCGGCATCAGCCTCTGCTTGGGGTTCCGTGTCCAGCTCCTTGCTGGGTGTCAAATCCTTGTCCGCCTCCGGCATGTCCTCCTCTTCGTTGTTGTCTTTCTCTAACGTCTTGTCATCCTCCTTGATGGCCGCCTCGATTTCGCTCTTTTCTTGTTCTGTGCCCAGATCGGCTATGTCCTCGCCGCCACCTTGCTGGATCGCCTGGCCGCCACTGGCACTGCCGCTTCCATTGCTGATGGTCGACAGTTTCGAGGGGGAGAGCACACCGCTGCCCGATCTGCCACGTTTGATGGGAATCTTGGACTTGGTTTTGCTGGGACTGGGACTGGATTTGACAGGCAACTCCTTCAGGCATTTTTCGCTGCCCAAGTCCTTGTCCTGCTCGCCACGCTCCTTGCCTCGCTTGGGCGGATGCGTGCCGTAGCTGTTTGCGCCCAGCTTCTCGTCCTGCTGGTCCTCCGGTTGATCCGGCAAAGGAGCAGGCTCCGATTGCTGGCGCGTCAGACAGGTCTTGGCCGCCTTGTTGATAGTGGAAGTGCGCTGCGATTGGAAGCCAGTGTCCAGTGCCTGGGAGTCGCATTCGCTAGCCCCACGCTTCAGCTCCTCGATGAGCAGCTCCTCGGCATTCTCGCTGAGGCTGATGTTGTTCATGGCCTCGTCCAGCTTGAACTCCTGCTGCTGCGCTTCCTCGCGCAGAAAGGAGAAACCCTCGTCGATGATCCGTTGGCTGTCGTCGCGGCTGATCAGCGAGGCATGGCTGAGCAGCTGCAGGACGATCTTGCGCATGAACAGCGAGAGGCTGTGGCATTCCGGGTTCTGGGACTCGATCAGGTAGCAGGCCAGCAGCTTCCTGTTGAGGATGCCCTTGGTGCCGGAGTTTCCCTTCATGATGGCCTGGCAGATGGATGTCTTGCCGGAGCCATTCGAACCGAGGACCAGGCAGCCATTGTAGCTGGAACTGGAGATGGCCGCCGCCTTGGCCCTTGCCGAAACATAGCTGGAGGAGGCCGCTGCCCCACCCAGCGCACCACCCACTGGCACGGGCTTCTTGCCCGCCGTTCGCTGCTCGAGGCACAGGGCAATCTTCTTCAGCACCCATTCCCGATGGATGTAGACGGTGCTCACGATGCGATTGTTAGACTCCAGGCCGCCGCTGTGCACCAATCCATTGACCTCCTTGTCCGGTGAGATCTTTCGCTGCATCAACGCTTCGAGATTGCCTTCGGTGTCCTCTTTGGCGCCGCCTGCCGCCTCCTGGCCATCCTCCTCTGGCGCAGATCCGCCGCCGTTTGTGTCGCCATTCGAGTGCTGTGCCATCTCCTGGGGGAAGTTCTGCTGCACCAAATTGGCAAAGTGTTCCTCCCTTGCGAGGTTCGAGAAGCTGGCATTGGGACAGTCGCGTCCGCTAATCTCCAGCTTCTTCTGCAGCTGCGTGGTGTCCTTCAGAAAGTTGAGTATTCGTCGATCCTCCAGCTGCTGGTTGGCTGTGCCTGTGCCGCTGCCCAACGGTTGATTGCTGTACTTGGAGCCACCCACCAGGGCGCTGGTTGAGGCACAGATATCCACGCCATCGCCCTCTGCATCATCCTCGTCGGCATCTAGATCTGTCACCTGTAGAGGATTCCCATTGCGGGCACTGGCCAAACGATTCGAGTCGCGATAGTTGGAGAGTTTCGCCTCTGGATTCCCTGCAGCAGCCGCAGCAGCAGCACCCGTGTGGCGACTTCGTTCGCCGCTCTTGTAGCGATCCGACTTTCGTAGTGGTGTGGCATACAGCATCTCCTTGCTACCACCGGAGGAGGCTTTGTTCGCCGGCGCGGAATTGCAGTTGCCTATGGAGTTGGCATTCGGATTGACGATGTTGGAGGACTGCGCGAATTTTTGCTGCTGCTGCTGCTGATGAATTTTCCGCACAGACTCGTTGTACATCGCCTGACAGGGCAGATTTTCATAGATGTCATTGCGCAGATTATCGTTATCCGTGTGCTTAGACATTGCTGCTGTTGGTGCTGTTGCTGGAGCGCTGATTGGAGCTGGAGCTGTAACTGGAGGATGCCTGTAATCCGTTTGCTGTCTGCGTTTGCAGCTGTGCGGGTTCGTTCCCCTTTTTGGCTGTTGTCTGAATTTCCTGCCTTTCACTTAAGCTCCACAAATGACTGCAAATAAAGAGAAGGAGTTAGTAATCTGTTTGTTCATGATTTAAATGCTATGAAAATTCAGTTAAATCGAATAAAAGTCAAATAAAATTTGATACTGCTACTAAGGGTATAGTTTTCTTCAGAAATGCTCCTAATCTTTATCTTTCAGTTATTTTAAATCAAAGAAACGAACTTCAATATGTGTAAACTCTTCAAATCCAGCGGGCAAAGCCCAACTTTTAGTCGCCTTTAGGTTGCTCCAGAGCAAAACCTAAGGACACCTTAACGATCTAGATCCTTAAACTCTCTTTACGATAATCATCTGCCTATTTAGCTTCATTATGCCATTAAGATAACAAAAATTACCTTTAACGTTGGCGTCTATACGGGCTTTTAGTGGGCCATTTACTAGAACTTAAATGGCACTTTCTTTTTGCCATATTTCGCCAGTGTTTCGTTTTTTATTCACTTTTCGTTTTTATGTTTTTCTATTTTTTAGCATCCTGCTAAACAATTGACCTGATTTCTGTACATTTTTAACCCTTTGGTAGCTACCAGGCATAGCCGTGGCTCCTTCTCCCAGCCATTCACCCCATCAACACATGCACACATAGACCCATGCATTCGACTCGTCATCATTTTTTCCTGCGCTTGTGTTTACGCGCAGTATCTTTTGTTCTCGGGTTTTACCATACACACGAGTATATATCTCTAAGCTTACGAAGAGTAGAAGAGTACAAGAGTGAGAGGGAAGAGGGAGTATATGCGGCTTTTATGGGCGTCGTGAAGGAAGAAGACTAGGGTGTCAAAGATGGATGGGGTACGGCCGTATGATGGATGCACCAAGAGAACAGTTTCTTAATTGAAGAATTTCTGAGCAGTGACTGTCCTTTGCAGTTCGGTTAGAACAAGAAAGAGCTGACACTGTTTTTAAAGTAATAACTCCAATCTAAACTCAACCCGTAACTGGAATTACTTAGGTCTATAAACCATTCCTTCATTTCCCACAGTGTAAGTAACTTGCCTCTGTGTAAATAATGTCTTTCATGCCACAAAGTTTTTATTTTAAACTTCAATTTAGTCGTTGAGTCCTCTGTGGAAGCAGTGGATGGGTGGTGTATCCAAGGGATGTGATGTAATGGGACTTTTGTAGGTGGCAACGACCAACGACCGACCAACTACCAACGGCAATGTAACTAATGATACATACATCCCCCCCTTCCTTCCCATGCCTTCCTGCAAGGCACTGCACGGCACTGCACAGCACAGCACTCTCTGGTTGTCCAACTTTCACATAGAAATGGAGCAAATTCAGCACGTTCTGTGCACTTCGACGAGACGGGGACACAAAAAAAGAACTCGGTGGCCATAAAAAATCGTAGCAAGTGAAATGAATGATTTACGTCTGCAACCTGACGACGGACCGGATCCGACCGCAGCGAAAGGGTGATGTGACGTAAATGGGGGAACCATTTGCAGAGCTTCGCGCTCCGCACACAAAAACCCGGGGGACAGAGGTGGGACAGGACTGGGTGGCGGCAGATTACCATAATGTTGGCAAGTCAGCTGTAAAATCCATTGATTGAGCGTGTGACAGCATCCCGGACGGGCATCCTCCATCAGAAGAAAGTCAAATGGAACGTCGCATCGAACAGCCCAGCCTGATCTGGGTGCGACACATCAACATCCTGACCCGCGCCACGTTGTGGCACACGTGTTGTGAGCGCTGCTGCCTCTACCATTTCCCTCGCTGTGGCCGCTTAAACGTAATTATTGGATGGATATGGGATGCACTCCAGTTTGCCCGCCGTCAACGTCACCGTCATTGTCGACGTTTTGCGGTCGGTCCAACAGCTCCCACTACAATAGAGCACGTACACAGGGTTTTGGTTTGCATTGTGGCTGCTCTGGCCACACATTCAAGTATCCTGCAATTTGCACGTTTCTCTCTCAATTTCTCTCTTTTATGGAGCCAAATTGATTTGCGATTGTAATTGAAATGGGAATGGTACACTGCATGGCTCTAATTCTCACTCTTTGGGTAGTTTTAAAGATTTCTCGAGTGGATGAATAGCACAGAAAATTTGCTTGCTAATTATGCAAGTTTGAATGGTTTTAATTTCTGGCAGAAGTGCGTGTCTTAAACTGCAATGCTAATTGCCAATTCCACAGCAGAGCAGCCGTAAGTCGCCTCCTCTAGCTCTCAAAACTATTGCAAGAAAACTTGACAAACTGGCAGACCGTGTAGCTCGCTCCTCTATGAATTTTAAATGGCTCAGCCGATTTTCTTGTAGTTTTGTAAAGTCGAATTGGATCCCCCAACTCCGATGCCGAAACTCTCTCCCTGCAGCTATTATGCTAATTAAACATGTACAGCTAATCACGCATTGTAATTAGCCAGAGAATTGGAAATATTTGCATACGATTCAGCCTTGAGGCATTGAATGGGCATTTGAACAAATTGCATACAAAGATTTAATTAATTGAGGAATTCGATTCACACAACAAGTATCCATATTATTTATAGGAAAATTGCATTAAAAAACCGACAGCAATCCACATGGGGGAAACAGACACAAACAGCCATCTGTGCATCTCTGTGTATATCGGTTTCTGTTTCTGTTTCTGTCTGCCACTGGCAGCTGCATGAACTTGGGCAATATGCGGCGTGGGAATATTTTGCCAAACGCAAGGCCCCCACAGTAAAAGAAAACATGCAAATTTTTCGGCAGGAGAGAGAGTTGAAGCTGTGATTTTTGTGCTGTGCAGGAAAGACCAGACCAGAGTGGCCGGAGAGCCAGAGAACGAGCTGCCCCTGACAGAAACCACACCACAAGTAAAAGGATTTTAGTGGTCCTCGGAAATGGCATGGGGCGGATAGGATGTAATTGAAATGTTGCACCCACAGACGGGGCGTTTACAACTACCATTTTGGAGTGCCTCTTTTCATTTTCGGTTTTGTTTTAATTGTGTACATACATATCTACATATGTATGTGTATACCCTGTATTCGAGCAGTGCAGGAATCACCAGTTTCCGACTGCAATGTAGCCTTGGTCTTGTTTTTGTGTATCCTGCATCTCTGAGGGTACTTTTAAGACCAACGCAGGCACTTTCGGTATGAAATGCTTTTGTAATCCATTGAATAGTTCCTCTAATGTAAGAAGGAATATTTTTACGAGGCCAGAACTACCATTTTCCACGGCACCTCCTCTTCGAATCTCTCTGCTCTGCAGCATTATTTTTTATTGCCAAAAGGATGGCAGACAGGAAGTACTCCATTAATGTGTATTTACATACATATTTTGGTTTCGTTTCGCATTTGACTCTTTGTTGGGGGGATTTTATTTTAAGTTCGCTTGCCCTGTTGATTATGATGGTCTCCATGGGCGTCGCATGGGCGGGCAATGGCTCATGTTTAAGTAATAAGTTTTCCGACTTGTTGACTCGTTCAATTATTCACGCCATAACTTTTCGTAAACAAAATATATTCCATGCATCACAAATAGAGCGCAGACACGGATAAATATATGCATTTTGAGATAGGGTTCCGTTCTGCAGTCGCACTTTCCTGCCATCTATAGATACTGCACATGGCTTTGTGTAGGATTCATCAGGGGGCGACAATTGAGAGAGTAAATAACAAATCAAATATTGCAGCAAATTGTTTGCCATGGGGCAACACACCAGTAAAAGGCAAAGAAAGGTGAAAATCCAGAGAAATTCGCTGAACGTGCAGAAACATGGGAAAAAACAGGAGCCAAAATCAGCTTAGGGGCGACACCCGTGTAAAAAGGCCGAACGAGCACTAAGGAACGCTTCCGTATCGATTTTTAAGCGCTCCTGCTCCCGACTCCCTCAGCTGCCGGCAATGACAAACGAGTGTTCAAAAAAAAGGAGAAAAAAAACGTGGAATCAAGGTAACGATGTGCAAATACCCTCGAGAATATCTTAACAGATAGTAGCTACAAGTACAAGTACAAGTTTTTATTCCTTGAGAGGGATACCTAAAGCACTTAATTTTAAAACGATTCCCAAAACTCCATGTAACCCCCATGCATCAAAGGGTATTGTACATTCAATGGAGAAATCAAAGTAAATGCTCAGCGAGTTCGCCTTTCAGATGCGCTTAATTCTGTAATATAATGCCGCTGGAGGTTGGCAGGCAGCCGCTCCCGAAAGACCCGCGCTAAGGACTCCTCCCCGTTGGTGGCTGTTCGGTCTGGAACCTGCCCAAATCCTGGCATTGTGTTTAGCGCTGCTGTGAATGCTCCTGCGGCAACAGGACCGGGCACCGGATGCGGATTCAATGCGGGCATCCAAAAGGACAATGCCGTGTGCACAGTACCGATGTAGCAGAAATGGGAACAGGATGTGAGGCTGTTGGCAGGATGTGATGGCCGTTGCACCATCGTTGTTGGGTGGCCCCAGGGTGAACGCTTAATTAAACTTACATTTTTCATTGCTACATAAATGCATTTCCAGCACATGAAAATATTAAAATTCTACCAGAGGACGAGTCAGAGCAGGCAAAGGATCACGTATATAAATGCTAAGATTAAGTCTGACACCGCCATCATCATCATCATCATCATCACTCTTGGCAAGGATTTTCGTATAATATTGCATGACTGCCGGGATGACGGCATGCCGACATTGTATCCTTGCCCTCCTTTGCTTGCTTTGGCATGCTTCCCTCAAAACTTCCCGCTTCCTGCTGCACTTTCCATGCATTTTTCAGCACTTAACAGAGAAAAGAGAACGGCACACAATTTTCGGGGCAAAAGAACATCAGAAGTGCCTTAGTGCCGAAAGAGCCTTCTGCCCATGTCATGGGCATGCCAGGCATTCCCTTTCTTATATTCTGCAATTTCGTGCAATTTCCCAAGTTATGATACATTTATTAACTGCAGACAGGGACTCAGCTGTGCACTCAATGATCAAATGGAAAACATTGCTTTTACTTTGGATAAAGCTCTGGAAATACACTAAAGCAAAGTAAGCTATATTGGGGAATG